GGCTCAGGAGACACTTTAACATTAACCCATCCTGTATTGTTCTTCATTCACCCTTTTCGTCGCAATATCCCAACCACCACCTAACAATGAGTCATTCTTTTCTAGTTTTCTCCTTAGTGTTAATGCCTTCGTGTTTTCCATATTAGCTTATGCAGGCTTTGGATGAAGTTTACACAATTACCTATGACGTTCCGCGAAATTGTTACATCGACTTGTATTCATCATGAGTGATAAGTATATGTAACTATCGTAGTCGCCATCATTGAACATTACAACTGAATAGACTCTTTAAAAAAATTGTTTTTATCATCTTTCGTTAAGCTTGGTTGGCGTACAGATGTGTAAGGTAACTGGCATATCACATACTACAAAGCAGCAACGGAAACTTAATTGTTGTGTGAGAGTACATCGAGGAATAGAAGACAAAATGTTGTAACAAGCCGCGTGTTTTGTAATGAGCAGCGAAATATTTGTAAATAAATTACTTATGTACCGCTTAGTTTTAATTATTATGAATATTCACTTTTTTCGCGATATTTCGTCCTATATGGCTCTAGAGCAGCATAGCTGAAGACACCGTCCCACCAAGCAGTCCGCCCTCCATGTTGCGAAACAATTCACATCCACTGACGCAATAGCCGCACCCAACTTCTCTAAATCGGGCAGGACCACCTTCCATAAGCAGCACAGGTTGTAGCGAATTGTAAGGTACCCAGGAATAGTACATTCGTCATTTTAACAAGGGAACATTCTCGTCAAGTCTTTAATGCATTTTCATACGTTTTGTTCGACGAATGTGCGAATTGAGAGGAGTGCCGGAGATCAGCCCCCCTAGAAAGTTTGATATTTCTGCTGGAAAATATGATTTTATCCTTGCCAAGGTCACATTTTATCGATATTCGGTATCTCATTTACGTTTTTCACACTAGAAATGTTCGAATATTGGCATCCATGATCAAGAAAATGTCACAAAATAATCCTTTTGAGAGCATTCTTAGGATTCATTCAGACCGTGTTGCATAAACGATGGTGGAAATCGTTAACTCATAAATTCTTGAATTTTCACCCTTCCTCCATGGAGCTTTCAATTATACCTCTGGAGAAAATTGTCAATTCGCACACAGTCTCCTAGAAAACATTTTGAGCAACATTCAAAGAAAAAGCAATAGAATTATAGTAATTTTTCTGATAAAACTGAATTCAGTTATAAATCATATGAAATATTTTGCAACGCAAGAAATGTTTGTTTCTATGCCCAAAGTAAAGTGGATTAAACGGCACCATTGTACAGGATTTTTCAAACATGAACCATTTAAAAATCAGATCAAAAAGGCATAACACCCTTATTTTTCTTTCTAATTTTTTAGGCCATTTATTACTAATATTAAACATTTAATTATTCTGTGTTTGAAACAAAGGTCATTAAACCATTAGAAAACGCACAATCAATATTTCCAATCTATAGATTGGAACTCATCCCAGAGGCTTTGTTTCCGGGAACCTTAAATATTTTAAACATAACAGGTAAATACAAAGCTAGAACGACACTTCAAGAAACTTTAGATCAGGGAGAATTTTAAATAAAATATTTTATGAAGAGGAATATTATGAAATATTTAAAGGGTGCAATAATTTCCGTTCGAAATAATTCCAGTTCCGATAATTTTGATTTCATTTGTATTTTGAGGAACAGAATAATGAATATTTCATTAATTTATTATCTTTAACACAATCACCTCTTATGAGTAAGGGTGTAAACCAAAATATCAGAAAATCTTCTCTCAAATTCGATTACTTTTCCCAAAAATCCTATCTTCTTCACGTATAAAAGATCCAGTGCCATTACACCATTAAGGTACCGAATTATCATAAATTGCCTTCAAACAATAAAAAAATGATAAAAGCTAAGGGTTGTCCTGAAGGCAGTACTGCTATAGCGAAATATTGAATATGTCATTTAACGTATTTTACAGTCACTTGAAAATTTGTTCACATTTCGATATAGTACTGCGACTGAAGGATCGCAGGTTCGAGTCGCGCCTCGGGCATGGTTGTATTTGTGTTCGTCCTTTCACCCCTCACCATCAGCATGTCACACCATACAGTTAACCATATCGTTTAATCTATAGTGGTCGCTAATGACCTAGCTCTTGATGCGATCTTAAAAACAAAAAAACAACAAAAAAGGTAACGAATCTCCTCGTGTGTCGCAGAGTGTCACGCCGTCACGCTCTCGTTGGGCCAATTGCTGCTGCAGGTAATAATCTCCCCCGCCCCCTTGAGGACTTGTCACTGACAGTGGCCATCCCCTGCTCCTGGCGGCCGCGAGAGAAAGCGAGCGCAGCGGAGCGACCTGCTACACGCGTGCCGCGTCGTGCGTCGCGCGTCACGCTATCAAACAAGCGGCGGAAGCCCGCCGGATAATGGTGGGAGCCCCCAGACAGAGGGGGCGTATGAGTCCCCTCGCTACAAAGACCGCATTGCCAACACAGGAAAAGTGACAACGGAAACTTCCTCTGCAGCTGGCAAGGACGAAGAGCAGCATTTCTTAATCCTCTGTGGAAAGCAGCTCTATAAGTAGGTGTGCGACTAGTGGAAGGTTGCTTGCTCAACTCGGGCAGACCGAAATATTTAATATGTCATTTAACGTATTTTACAGTCACTTGACAGTTTGTTCGCATTTCGATATAGTACTCGATAATAGCTGCAAAACGTCAGAGCATGAACTGTGCGGCTGACGTGGACGTTGTGGTTAGCATATTATGGGTCTTTCACCTAGAATGCCTTACCCACCTTACAGAACAATTATTTGTTTACGAATTGGAACCGTGGCACTTTCCTATCCAACGTACTTTGTAAAACATTGTTTTAAAAGTGAAAATGGCTGGATTCTGAAACCCAACTTCAAACGGCGATCCTCCGAATTATACTAATTGACCTGGTGGATAGACATTCTAATACTGCTAAGCGTTTAGTAACAAACAAGAAGACCCATGCAGTTGATTTGCACACAATATCGAGCCAGCTGAAGTGGATAAAGGGCATCAACAGATGCCACTGCAGTGCCTCTGTGGTTCGAGTCCCGACGGTTGTAGGATTTTCGACACTTGCTAGATACCTAGGTGGAATTCAGCCGCTGTCTGGAGAATTCTAGCGTCCAGCTACTCAATGCGGCAGGTTTCCATTGTTTCTCCGATAAAAACTAGGGGAATGACGGAGCAATAACCTAACAAACGGGCTATGGACTGCGCGCGATCTTTCCTCTTTCCTTCCTCCCTATCACTCCCTACAAACACCTCACAGTCACAGTATCACACATGTAGGGGGACCAGTCGATAACATAGAGATTGTCCCAGATGGGACGGAGCCCCGTTGGTGGGAGATACCAAGACTGGGAAAACCTAGCAATCAGAAGTGTGATTCGGCGCGGGAATCTATCCAAGGGGGGAAGAACACCGCCATTCCAGTGTAAAAAGCATGCACTAGTCTTACGGGACTAATTATTACAGCACATTACGCGCTCGGAAACACGAAATAATCAAACAATCAAATAATTTAATTTACACATATTTCGAGATTCTTCAAGATTCTGCTACGGAGTGGTAGTACCAAACTTCCAAATATATTTTAAAAAATCCAAAAAGGTTTCATTTTCTACATTACGGCCTCAAACATACTCTAGGCTTTCAAACTTCAAAAAAGAGTTGTAAGGGGGCTAGGAAGTTCTACGGGTTGCTCATGGGTCAACGTGCTTGCTTTCCATGACGCGATCCTGGGTTCGATTGCCGGTCGGGACAGATTGTAGTCTGCGCTTTCCTTGCATTGTCCCAGTATCTGCTGCTGTGTGACCATGAGAAAGCTAACTTCTCAGGTTGAGAAAACCAGAATACAACGTAGGGATGCTATGTGCTAACCACACGTACCCCTTAACTCATGGCCGCAAGCCCGGGACGCTGCTGGTAGGCCTTGGCCGCGTAAGGAGCTGTTGTGCCAGTACAGGCAGACAGGAGGCTGCATTTGTTTTGAATAATGCAAAATGGTAACATGTGTTACTCCATTCATGTGTGCCTACTGATTTCTTTATAGCATAATGTACAAGAGTCTATATTTTTCGACTTAAATTTGGTAGATGCACCATTGGGGGTAATTCCCTTACCAGCAGTAGCACATTATGAGGTTCTGTGAGTCTATAAATCTTACAAATCAACTGATATGTGAATGATGTTCCTTAAATTAACGCGTATACAGCAGATTTAGACTGACAGATAGGTTAAGATTTAGTGATGAATACAGGCCAGTCTATAGAGACCATAGTGGATGAGATGAAACGAATAAAAGAAATGTACTATTCAAATGATTGCGCTGTCCACGGCAATAATGTTTTAAATTGATTCGAAATAAAAATTAATAAAATCGATTCCCAGTAAACATATACTTTATTTTCACTATATGTTAAAAAAACATACACTTTGACATTGTTTACATCATATTTCGATTATCACATATAAGAATATGAATAACTGATGAAATATAACTTATAATATGCCATTGTAACTTAACACAATGCTATCAATTTAACCCATTTTAATAAACTAGTCACCCACTAAATACTAATTTCTTTAATTTATTTCATTAAAAAAACTTTTTCCCGAGGTATTGGATTAAAAAAGTACTTAAACAGGAACAAAAGAAACAATAAATAAAAACGATGAATCAAAGCAAACCTCTTCAGCATCGCCGACTGGAAAGTCGTAGGGTTCGAATACGGTCAGTGGCGAATTTTCGACACTAGATAGATTTCTGGGTCGCATTCAACTACTGTCTGGAGGATACTTGTTTCGAGGGTTTCTCTGATCGATGGTTTTCCACAGCTGGGGGGTATCAGGCGAATACTGGAGCAATGCCCTAACAAACGGGCCATGGTCCCTGTGTAATCTTTTACTCCTCATCCTTGTCCTGTCCTCTCCCCCCTCCCACTTACTTTCACTAAACTAACACACATGTCGAGAGGCCAGGCGGGAGCTCAAGAGTGAGTCTCGCTGGGGCCGCCGCCTGGAGTGAAAACCCCGCAAGCCGATGTCAGCGCCGCATATTTCGTTACAGCAGGAGAGGAACACACTCTCGTGATGTAACATGAACTACACTTACGATACTTATGACCTAAGTAGTTGACAAAAAAATCTGACTCAAATCAAGGAACGGGTGTTCGGTCATAACTAGGAGGGCGAATTTAATGAAAATTTCATTTAAAACATCGCCAAAAATAATCAGTAAATTTCTCTGGAAATGTTTTAAAAACAAAGAAAAATGACGTACAACATTTGGTAAAAACTAGTTCAGATGGACAACTCAACCTCTTGAATATGTTACTGACGTAATCGAGGGTTCTACCTTTCGTTCAAGTAAAATCAGATTTCAAACTTCTGGCTCTTTACCAGTAAATTTCTTTAAATGTCGCAAAATCGGCCAAACTGACAAGGTCGCTGATAGGTGATTCAGGAACATTAGATTCTATACTTACAACGGCTAACATTACAATTTCTGAAAAAGGAAATGGAATAGGTTACTAAGAAACTGTGAAGAATATGTAGTATGTCGTAAATATTATTTGAAGAAAGTACCACTAAAATAAGTCCCTCGGTGACTTGTTGGTAAGCGTGCTCACTTTCCACGGGACAACTGATTCCCGGTCGGGGCAAAAATTAATTGTGCGATTTCCTTGCAGTCCCTGTATCTGTTGCTGTGTGACGATGAGAAAGTTCACTTATCAGGTTGAGAAGACCAGAATACAGGATGGCTCTGTGCTAATCCTTTAACCCATGGCCGTAAAGCCGGGGCGCTGCTGGTAGGCCTTCGCTCGTAAAGAGCTGCGGTTGCGAAGTACTTACCACCAAAGTGATGTTAGCATCCATTAAATCAGCGCGAAATGTTTTAAAAAAAACTTATTAGTCAAAATCGACGAAAAATGCAAAAAATAATAGTCATATAAAAATGGGTAATTTCCTTTTGTCCTAACATAAAATTAATGTTTGCACCAAAAGGCATTGTTCTAAAAAACAAAAAATAAAAATAAAAATAAATAAATTCATAAATAAATAAATAAATAAATAAATAAATAAATAAATAAATAAATAAATAAATAAATAAAAGTAAAAAATTGACATTTCATTAAAATCCGCTCCTGGCTATAACAGGTGGGTTATTCGCATACCTACGAAGTGGAGGCGCAGCGTTGTGACCGCCGGTGTGCGCTGGTGTGTTCGCAGGCGCGGAGGCGCTGCGCTGCTGGGTGTGCTCGTCCAGCACGGACGTGCGCTGCCGCGACCCCTTCAACCGCACGCACCTCTCCGACGTGGACTGCGAGCGCGCGCGCGCCGTCGCCGGCTACGGGGACCGCGCCTACTGCCAGAAGACCGTCACCTCCAGTGAGTAGCGCCTCCTGCCGCGCAGGGCTCGTGCATACTGCTGTAACCCACAAACTTGAGATTTGAAGGTGTATCAGTACAATAGTAGTTTACGTAACAAGGGCGCGAAACGAGTGATTCACGCACGAGTCCAGTGTGTCGTCCGAGCGTAGCGTGGATGACAAACAGACGACTGCGGGAATCACCTCGCGCCCGTGTTGCGTATACTATTTTTTTAACACGCCATGAGCGAAACGCAATGCTTCAAGTGAAGGAATATAAATTAAATATCAAATAACTAGAAATACCTTTCTTGTACAAAAGTAAATAGATTCTAGTCAGTGTCGTAACCGACGAGCTAGAATATACTACATAGAGTGGCTGACCGTATAGTTTCAGCGCTTTTGGTGGAGTCTCCCCGAACTAGTGGCCGCCATGTTTTTTGAAGTCAAAACATACGAGTGGTGGTGTAACCGTCCGTAACCAGCACCAAACGTAATGCTATATTGCGATGTTTGCAACTCTGCCCCTGGCAGGTATCAACTGGTGACAGTTTCATCCAATCGGAAGCTTAAAGGTTAACATAGTGACGTCACTATTGTGACGTTCAACCTCCCGATTGGATGAAACCGTGAACAGCTGAGACCTGCCAGGGGCAGAATTGCATAAATCGCAGTATAGAATACTTTGTTTCTCAGAGGGCGCTGCTTTGATTGCAAAAAACATGGCTTCAATTTGCTTCAAAGATGGAGGCGCTTTAGCCACTCTATGTAGTATATTCTAGTTCGTTGGTCGTAACACTGTTTGTAAATAAACAAAGACGTCATGAAGACGGAAGATAATTGTGAATCGTTGCTGATGTTTCGCACTCGGAAAGCAATAACGAAAAACCGTGTTTTGCGCACGGCATATTAAATAATTTTTAAGTGTAGTATGTCTTTATCTGTGACATTTAACCACTTGCCGCTTCGTGGAAATATTTCATAAATAGAGACCACTATTTATTTCTATAGGGTAATGTTAATTATTCATAATTTTCAACAATTCATTTTAATAAATTAAACAAACGAAGGGACATTAAAATGTTTATCACATAATTGCAAAGCGATATTACTTATTCTCGATTAATGGAAAGCAAATGAATAGTGGAAAAATAAACAGCGATCTCTTGTACAAAACAAATTTTTAGCGTTACAACAGTATTCCAGCAAAGCGACGAGTTTTAACAAGTGCATTATATACTACGTTTACTTCCAATGCGGGAGTGTTCCCAATGCAATACATAACTTCAGTACGTGCAATGTATCTGTCAGGTATCCCAGCCATTTTCAGTAGCATTGATCTTTCTTCTTGTTTAAAAAAATATTACTTTGTAATAAGCTTCCACGTAATATTTAAGTTTCCTCCAACGATATTCAATTTGAAACATGCATTTCGTAACTTTTATTTAACGCATTACATGCAGCTTTTATTTAACATGGTAATATTCACAACGAGTGAGCTCGCTATGAATTTACCATTCTTGCTGCAACGCAGCGAATAAATTTCAACTTGTTCAGAGCCTATCATAAAACCTTCATTTGAAAAATGACTGACACAGGATTACTCCGAAATCAAGAAGTTGCTTGGAGTATAAAAGAAATTTCAACTCGCTAGAATATCACGACTTTTAATTATTTGAAAATGTCTAGCTTGGGTCTCACAGATACCTTGCGTGCACGAGCTCCCGATTTATAGGTCAAAAGCTTGTTTTCCCCTAGTGTTTGCCGGTAATGGGAGATACTGCCACACGGCACTAGTTATATGGTTGCATTGAAGCAGTTGCCCGCCTTGCAACAAAGAAATCTTACATTTCGTCTCTACTTCCCCTTTCACTTACAAAGAGTTCACGATTTCCGCTCTCCTTGCGCTCTCAAATTAGACACATGGTTGCCCGGGTGTGCACTTGACATTCAGGGTTTCTCCGAGGTTAGAGTTCAAACCCGACACGCTGTCCGAGTTCTTCGTAAGCGAGTGGGTTGAATTTCCTAACAGTGCAACAGTTACTTTTTGGTCGTATAATTTATTTAAGAGTACCACGGACATTCAACAGGATGTAGTATTTCGAGTAACTGAATAATATTAGGTGATGAACTAGACTTAATTGTGGAAAAGCAATTCCGATGTAACATTATTCTTCAATTGTCGAAATTCTCAGAAAAGAACTAAATTTACAAATTTTATAGTATTTTGTTAAATGTATTTATGGTGTATAATGCAACTGGAAAATGTATGGTTCATTCAAATTAATTGGAAAGTTCTGTTACGTTAAGTTTTTTTGTCATGATTTTAATTTCTACGACTGTCCCAAAATTTTGAAATTTAGAATAAAATGAAAAATAATCGTTTTCTTTATGTCTAATTATTCCGTCAAAAAATCACCCAGAATCTTTTCTTCATTTGAGAGAGTTTAGTGCAATCCGTTTTTCCGTTTCTAGATTTATTTGGTCCTTGCCGGCGCGCAATGAAAATAACCTATGCAGCAAAGACACGTGCGCTACAGCCCTGAAGGGGGTGATGCCCGCAGCGGCTGCCCCAATCCTTAAGAGCGAGGGCGATCTCCCATAACTCGAAGCAGAAAAATACTTCTCAACGCTGCGCAACGGCAATACGTGTAGCGCAGATTGCGTGCCGGGAAGAAACGGAAAAACGGATGGAGTAGATAAGAGGCTACATACTTGTTGTTTTTTATGAGTCTGCATGGAGTTTTAGTGCAATTAAACAGTTTAATAAATATTCATCATTTGCAATGAAAATGCTGGGCGCAGTATCTTGCGTATCTTCCAACAACATTTGTGAATTATTATTATTATTATTATTATTATTATTATTATTATTATTATTATTATTACTTTTTTCAGACATGTCTTATATATTTCGTAAATGGCACCTTATATTATTATACGTATATTCATAAAATCATGACAACAAACCTAAAATAATAATATAATAATAATAATATTAATAATAATAATAATAATAATAACAATACTTTTTGCTCAATATACATTGGCAGCGTTTATCAATCCTCATCAACACATTTCACTTGATTTTCTTATTTCCTCTATCTGTGAATTATTGCCTGCGTCATGGCGCGGTGTTTTGCAGTCAACGGCGGCGAGCAGAAGGTGCTGCGCAAGTGCGTGTTCTCGCGGGAGGCGCTGGACGGGCGGTGCTTCGACCAGCCGCAGAGCAGCGACTTCCTCACCGTGGGAAGGCACTGCTCCACCTGCGAGACGACGCCAGACGGCTGCAACGCCGCCGGGCCCGCCCGACGGCCGCGCTGCTCCGCCGCCAGACCGCCCCTCGCGCTTCGGCGGCGGCGGCTGGCCGCCGCGCGCCTCTCCGCTGAAACGCCCCTGCCGACTCCCCTCCCACCCAGCCAACCCACCACCAACCCCCTTCTCTCGCGCTTGTAGAGCTCCCTCTCGCTCCCACACCTCACCTCGGCGGTTTCATCCTGAACGTAATACGTTGAATGGCCAGATTTATTTTTGTTGTCAACGACCAAGCCTAAAACTTTTTATCCTACCCTTCCGGAGTCTGTTTTGTACTGATCTCAACAAAATGAATAATTAGAAACTTGTTTCGTATTGTTACTTATCAAAATTGATGCATTGGTAATGTACCGGGCGAGAGCGCTAGAGATATTTGAACTAAACACCGCTTCCAAATATTCGTATTTTTGTACAGTCTTTTTTAAAATATTCAACGACAATAATTGTTTCACAACGATACCTGGCAGGAACTGTTTATCTTCTTATTTCTGTCACAATATGTTTCATTTAGAAAGGTAGTATGTAGGAAATGTTCACTTCCTGTCAAATGTTCATATGTTTTAAAATAATAGAAATATTGAAAGAACGGAGCATGCACAAAGGAATGATGTAGTGACATTCAGAATTTGCATTGCATTTATGAGGTTCAACTGCGTAGATAATTAAGGTGCGCAATTGCAGATCCAATGTGGCACAATGAAACTATGAGAGCATTCGTCTGCAGAATATATTTACTTAGCATAGTTTTGTATTGCAGTTGAAATTTTATTCGAATTATTATATTTGAATATATTAAAACAATTTCCTTGTCAACTAATGAATATTTAACTCAAATAATGCTTTATTTAAATTATAATTATTATCTATTTTTGAGATAATTTGCTCCCTGGTGACTTTCACTCTGGATTCGCTATTGTGCGATCGCAAACTTGTTGTATGTAAAATAAGACGTGATAATTCAGGATCGTTAATGAATAGTTACTTCGTAAAATTTGAGCGAGTTATTTACGAACCAAAATGAAGAGGTGCCTGGAATCTTCTGGATACAAATCTCCCTCAGTTTCTTTCTGATTTGTTGTTGTAGATACTATGTAAAAATCTGTGAGTTGTAAAAAATGATATATTTTTATCTTATATTAAAATTAACCATCTTATTAATTTTAAGAATTGGGACAGTTTAACATAATATAGAGGTGTTTGAAAAGACGTTGCAATAAGTTTGTACCACGTATTGTGTAAAGTTGTTTAAGAATGTTCTCGAAAGAAATTCATATATAAAAACAATTTGCTTGTAAAAGAACAATAGAAAAGGTGCCAGTAATTAGTAATATCAAATTCAGCATTACGTAATATAAAGGTCAATCAATTAATAATAAATTCTGGTTCTGGGCACCAACAACTAATACATCTCAATAAATTATTTTTTTTGGTTAAAATATGTCAAGATGGAAAAAGTGTAGAGCAGCTGTGATGTTTTAAGCAATGTTTAACTGTTCTTTGCCTCTTGGGAAGTCGCAATGTAACGAATCAGCCTATTAAAGGAATCTGAACGAGTTTTAGTTTTACTGGAAGACAAAAACTAATTTATGTTAAAGATTAATAGTAATATTTTCTATTCACGATCTAGATTTCACTTTTAAGTTTTATCTGTAAGCCAATGAAGGAATATCACGTGTGTAGAGTATACGCCAATAAATAGCTGTTTCATTTTCTTTGTAAAATCCCAAGGTAAAATGTACGATCAAAGCTGCCTTACACAACAGCGTGAGAATTATGTTTTCTCTTTTACGCAGTTTCCATTAGATCTTTCTCACGAAGCCTAACAATCTGTGACCTCAAACGAATGCTGAAGCAACCCTCAGTTGCAACATTCAATAGGAGATATTTAAGGAGATATTAGGAAACGGGCAGTAGCCTTTGGATATTCATTAGTACAGGTGGCTTTTTTGTCACTTTTGTCACATTTTTATTGTGTATGTCCGTCCATACGTGTAGTTAGAGAAACAATCCTTCTTGCCAAAGCAAGAACTAGTCTGTTTCCGTGTTAGTCCTGTGAAATTTTGTACATAACAATTTTTTAACAATTTCCCCTTTTGTGTACATTGCCTGCAGAGTTATATTTGTAACATATTTTGTGTAAAGAACAACAGAAACATCTGTATCTCCAGCTTCAATAAAAATTTACTAAAACATGTCTACTTGATTATTATATGCTCTTTCATCAATATTTGGTGTGCGCGCACACACACACACACACACACACACACACACACACACACCATATAGAATAGTCGTTTAGGATCAAAATCATACATCATTTTTTAACCAAATTGAGATTAATCATGATGGTGATCTTATTGCAGTTTGGTATATGCTCCATAACTATCATTTATCATTTCGCAAAGTTGACAATCAATCATAAATAAAAGTTTTTTCCTTGCACACCCAGACATCATTGAACCCACTTTAAACACGATACTTTGTTATTTGTATGTGTCTAATTTTGATAATAGATGACTGAAATAACAGATGTCTCAAATACCATGAGAAGTCGCTACTAATTACGGTTACCAGACTTGACTCTTGTTGATGAAAATAAAATAACAAGTTCGATTTCATATTTCTTCCATTATAGACAAGGGTGAATTAATATATAAGCAAGCCAAGCAAGAGTCCATGACCCCGCTGGATAGCGGCCCGTTTACTTCTTACTACATTTCATATTAGTGTCTAATTGTATAAAAGAACATAAGTTATACTCCCTTAGGTTAGATTTATTTAGGGATTCTTAAGGCATCAATTAGAGTATACGACTCAAGCAATGGAAATAAAGTGCAAAGTGAGGAGTAGTCGGCCACAGGGGACGAAAAGTTAAAGCTCAAAGATGAAATAGAGTGATGTGTCTATTCCATCCTCTGAATGATGTCATACTGTGGTACATTTATCATGAGATATTAGAGTTCAAGCTTGAGGTTGAAAGCAAAATGAAAATTAAAAATATGAATTTTATTATTGATTGTTTTCATCAAGAAATTCATAATTAATGAAATAATTGTATTTGGTGTGTATGAAGCGTTGATATTCAAACAAATAAGAGACTTAAAATTACTGGAATTTCATGTAATCTGTTCTACAAGTTTAATTTCTGTGTCGCTTGATATTGGTGCTTGGTTACTTTAAAAGGGTGTAGTTCCGAAAACAATGCTTGAGCGATTCACCAAAACAAAATTTGTGGTGAGTACTCATACAATTTCGTGGATAGACAGGTCAGGACACAGGATAAATTGAAAGGGGGTATGGCTGCCATTGTAGTGGATGGTTTACAAGCGGGTTTGAAATCTGGCTGCAATTGCTGTCATTTTCATCACTGTTTTGGGGTGAATACAACATAAATAAAAATATAAAATGAAAAACCAAAAGCTTAGCTGTATTGGATTATGTTTAGATATGTGTTTTCTATGCCAGCTGCCATTTTTTCTTTAACAATACAAATATGCAAGTTTTCTCGCGAAAGATCTTTAACATTTACAGTTAATTTCTGATTAAGAAACAACAGACGTTTCCCTCGTAACACTTCGTTCTGAAGAATCAAACTGTGTTAACTTGTACTGAATTTGATTTTAAAATAAGGAATGTGTTCGTGCACTCAATACATGCCGAACAACTCACAACCATATTATATTTCTTAGATCTTTATTTTCATACAGTTAAATAATACACGCACCGAAATGAAGAGATCGGTATTCTAAACAACTAACTTGCTTCTATCACATTCTCAACGATGTTCGGAAATATGGTAACCCTACAGGACACGAACCCATACCCTCGCTCCCTGGTAGTGTGGCGTCGTTAACACGAGGGCCAGAACCGTTAGGTTGGTGAAAGTACGCTGCGGGGGAGG